ACGGCAAACTACACAGTAGATACCGTCTTCTGTTTTTACCAGACAAGATGATTGATCCGTACAGTTGGCAAGAAAAGGTCTATTCATTGAAATTTACCAGGAATTTTGAATTTGAAAATGATTTTTCGTGAGCTTGACTTCTACACACTGTAACTCCAAGGATTCCTTTAGCTCTTTAGCGGTGAGGTAGAATATCCAAGAATAATGAACTTTGTTCTTGCATGTCTAACCTCCCAAAAAAAGATGTACAAAACTAAAGCTTTGTATCTCTGAGGACTCAAAGCGGCGGCTGCACAATAAAGTTTCATTACATTTCCCCTGTCACTTTGAATTTAGGTACAACAACACCCCACCACCACCCAGCAAACTTACCCCACTTGAAAACTTTGGTAGATCCGCATAAATTTCCCTTTCTTCTACCAACTGATAAATAATTGGCAGTAAGTACGCATGTATTTGTGCATCATTTGCTTGGCAAATGCCTACAAGGTCACGTCCTCTCAGAAGAGCAGGCCAAGCATGTGCCTGAAGTAAGCTAGGATTCAAAATACCAAGCCGAAGCAAATAATGAGGAAATGGGCAAAACTCTGGTGAAAAGACCGGCTTTGGAGCAGGTGCACCCTCTGAGCAAACAATAACACCATCAGAATATAATAACTTTTTTCCACTTGTTGTGCGTTGTACTGGTGAAGCAGACTTCTGTGTGGGTAATAGTATTTCTGAAGGAAGAGGAGACTTTCCAAAAGAACCACAAGAAGTCTGCAACAGTTGAGACAATTGTGTAGATTTTTCACTTAAATTTCTCCCTTCAACCATATGTAAGCTTGTTGAGGATTGTATTGGAGAATGTTCAGAGCGACATGCAATTTCTGAGCTGCTTTTAGTCGTTGGAGGCTCACATGTTTGTACTAAATCTGTAGAGGGATCTAAAGTTGACCCGCAGTCTCTCTCACAGGTTTCTTTTAGGGTCTTTATTGAAGATAGCAATCTTTGCCGATCTTCTTCATTTCTATTTGCCACAGCAGTAGTTTTAGACAGTGACTCAGTTTCCTGAACTATCCTCTTAGCTGAAATAGAATTTTCAAAAGGCAATCTAACGTTGTGTTGGCTAAACAAGGTATCTACACTTATTGAACTATTTCGGGGGGACTGTTCTTTTTCCTCTATTTCTTTAAGAAAGATTTCACCATTAGAGCCATTAGAGGAAAATTCAGGTATTTCACAGTAGGAAACACCTGAACCGTCTCTGTCTGCCCGTCTTCTCGGACGAAATTCATCTGCCTCAGTGGAAGATCCACTGTGAGCACTTTTCTTTTTAAGAATGGGCTTCAGATTCACGGCATCTGGAGATTTTGATGACATTGGATGAAAACCTCCCCTCATACCACTACCTGTTGCTGGCAGTCTAGATGAAAGAAATCGCACCCTTCCTGAATTATTGTCACTCGATGCTGCTGCCGGTTTTCTAGATCCATGCATTAGCTCATCTTCTGACTTTTCACTGCTAAATGTCTTTTCTTCTGAGAGTCTCTGAGACGAAAGGCCCTCGCACGCACCTTCTGGAAGTCTCGCTGAAGGCTTTTGAAGTGAGCTATTGTTTTCCTGACATGATCCATGTCCTAAAACCTGTTGTCTTAACACAACCAAAGGGGATTCCCTTATCCCCAAATACCTATTAGTGCTTCGCTGGCTCATAGACTCTTCAT